GAAAATGCAAAGAAAGTCTGATAAAAAACAGGTTTATAAAATAATTTAACAAAATATATTAAACATGGATTAAAAAAAACATTCTGCCTAACTAATACGTTAACTTTTCAAAGATGTTACTTGTTATCTGGATGATGGAAATGGTATGGGATTGGGGTACTTAAGTTTTCAAAAAGCTTTTAATAAGGTGCCATAAAAATTATTATCTAAGAAAATTACATTGGTAAGAGTTAAAGATAGATTGAAACTGGACTGCAGGGTGGTTGAATGAGAAGTCAAAGGTTATGATTAATGGAGTGGAGTTAAAGTGGAACCTTATCACTTGTTAGCTAATTAGGAAGAAGAATGCACCAGTTTCTCATAAGCATGAAACTGACCTCAACTGACTGTCAGTTACACATTTTACTGCCAGTCATGTGATACAAAATTGAGAGTTCAGTAAACTGGGGGCTAGAATTGCATGCAACAACAGTGATGCAGCATAGCAAACTTAGAAGTGTGTGAGTATAGAGGGAATGCTGAGATGAATAGGCCTACATGTACAAACAAATAATGATGGTATATATATATGTATATAAATATCTAGTAGTGGGAAGGGATTAAAGGGTTATAAGTCACAGTGAACATTATCTTTTGTTCCCTTTCCACAATAGTAGATTAGCTGTTCTGTTTCAGATCAAAGACACTCCAATTAAATTAAATCTGGGAATTGTCGTCACTATTTATCATACTTTCCACACAAAAAGCTTATCCTTTTCTTTTATAACATAAAAACAAAAATACAGTTCTTGTATTATTTTATGTTGTGGTTTGGAGTTACTTTGAGTAAGGTTTGCAGAATTCTTTGTAAACATATCAAATCATATGCCTTAGATTATAATGTTTGAAGTATCTCATCATTTGAGGTATTTTCATATTGTATTGCAGAACTTGTATATTTTAGAAAAGCTGGCAAAATACACTGTTTACGATAGTCATGATCAGATGCATATATCAATGTTGAAAAGGCGTTACATGCAAAATCTGATCTGACTGGGAGTCTGTGCTACTTATCTCAATCTCATTTTCTTAACAGCATGAATGTCTATGGGATGAACATGTTTACCAGCTTCATTTGATTTTCTCCTCTTATTTCAAGTAACAGGTTTGACAGATTTACTACATTCAGTTGTTCTCTTTGGTGTCCAGATCTAAGATGAGCTAATAGGTATAATCAACATGAGTAGGATCTCTACCTTTCCTCCCTGTCACAAAGTGGCATCTACACATATTAGTATTTTGATTCAAAGCAAACTTATTGTTAATGGCAAGTAAAAGACATTTAGCATGAATCCAAGTATTTGTTTGAGAAACTGGTTCTACTACAACCAATCATCGAACAATAATCATAGCCACCCATTATTCATAACAATCAAATAAATTATTATTGGATTATATTTTGACAAAAGTTACTCTATGTAAATAGATTAATCAATTACAGTGACACCTCAGGTATGCAAGTTGAGCATGTGATTACAACACTTCAATGATAGCCCCAGCTGATAAACTATTTTTAGTTATTGAGTGACTTCATAGAAAGACAATGTAGGTTGCACATGTGCAGTGCTTTGTAAAAGTACCATATTTATATTAAGAGTTCAAATTATTATTTCTTATAGTGATAGGTTAATATATCTTGAGAAGAGAAAGGTAAGAAGTGATCTTACTGAAGTTTACATTATCCAGAGAATCAACAAGCTAAAAGCTTCTAACTTCTTTGTGTTATATTCTGAGTACTATATGATGAGAGGACACAAGTTTAGGATTTGGTACAAATAGTATGCTCCAGTAAGATTTATATTTTTCTAAAAGTAACTGTTTTACAGAATGAGGTGCTATAGTTAGTAATGGAAGTCAGCAGTTTACATGAGTTTTGAAGAGGATTCGATGACTTCCTAAAAAAGTTAACTTTCTCAAGGGAGTGTGTGAAAGGATAACTTTAAAGGCCTATTGGGCCCTTGATGACCTGTATGTTATGTTACATTCAAAGTCTTTACAGTATAGACAGGTTAGCCGATGTAAATGATAGCAGTTGATGGAAGCTCATACAAAATAATTCAAAGACTTTAGCAACATAAGAAGGCTAGCAAAGAAATGTCTATATGGACAATTTTCAGACTATTAAAATTAAAAGAATGAAGAGGTTTGCTTATATAGTTCTGCTCTGAAGGAATTAAAAGTAAACATTCATTTATATCTCTCTTACCATTGATAATATTTAAAACATTTACATGAAAAAGTAAACTTACATTCTTTAAAAGGTTTAATAGCAAAGTTTAAAATAAAAAGAGTTTATTTACCACTTTCAGTAATATTGAAATAGAATTTTAGAACATTGTTTTAATTCCCAAATTTCTCCAAAGAAATGAAGTACTGTAGTCATCTGTTGGGAGAAACATCACCATTCAAAAAGTTTACCTTTTTTTTGCCTATGTTAACTCTGAAAACCACTAAATATCTGCTTACACTTTTTCCAGAAAATAAATACATGTATAAACTGCACAGAAAGATAATCTTTACTTGTAAGAATTTACTTTAGCTTGAAATGTACAAGAGATACAGTGCCGGATTTAGGCATAAGCGAAACAACTTACAGCTTAGGGCCTCACAAAATGTCAGATTTTTTTTTTTTTTTTCTGCTTTTATAATTTTATTTTTCACTTTAAATACCTTGCTATTAAATAATTAAAAGGCATATATATGTTTTTAATTTTTTTGTGGCAACCCAAGATCCTGTTTTGGTATGCACCTTTGTGAGACCTTCTGGTGTAACTTTTTAACAAGGGGCCTCCAAGCTTTATATAGCTTAGGACCTCACCAAGTCTAAACCCGGCACTGAAGAGATAGCAGGCAATACTATAACTGTGAATTCTGGTAGAATGGAGATTATAGCATATTAAAACAGGGGGCATGCTCAACTCAAAATTTAGGGAGAAGTGACTTCAATTATCAACATCCAAGATGACTCTGTTCAAAGTTAAAGCCATGTATAGGCCATATACCATTACAAATTTACACGGTGAAAAATTTTCACTTTCCTGCAAGGGTTTGACACAGTTGGTCTATGTAAAAGTAAGTAAAAGTTTTACAAGGTTAAAGAAACCATCTCACATTGGCTATTCACTACTGCAATACAATTTTTAACATCAGTAATAGGCCTGTAATTCACTCATACCTCATTGCTTTAGAATTAATATCATTCTAGTAATTAATCTCTTAAGACTGAAAATTAAATAAACTGCAAGGTGCAACCTTTAACTTTTAAAAATGTGCCTATACACTGTCAACAAATTATGTACAGAATAATAATATTAAATGTATTATTTATGAATGTTTGAATATAATACAATATAAATCATTAACTGTACCAGAATAAATAAGTTAAAATGGCTAAGATATGTAGTACAGTAAGAATTTGTGAAATAAATGAAGACCTTAATGAGTATCAGAATGTTATTACCATATTGGTAAAGTAGGGTTACCACTTTTCACAAATAATAATAGAAGACAACTGTGCACATATTTCAAATGATAGTAGTAATTCCTGGAGAATGCTACATACCTAAGGGTGAACCTGTCACAAGGACAATACATTCTAGAGATAACTTGAAAAAGATTAATTCAGTTGGACAGTAAAATGCTAGTAGTTTATTGTTTTACTTACTATACAATTATTTAAAATAAATCAAAAGATATGTTTAGTTGGTACATTGAACTAAAAAATAAATTCATATATTTAGTCCATTTCACAAGGTCATAAAAAGAATAAAACAAATCCTTTAAAATTAAAAGACTTCAGCTATCATAAAACAACATTTGGAGGACAGAGAAAAAATAAATATAACTTGGTGGCAACCCTAGGGTAAACTGTTTACAAAACTGTTGTTAGGTAACTCATAACTGAACACTTCCTAACAATAATGTGTTGATATATCTTCTGTAGTACGAGAACAAACCTACATATAGTACTCCAAACATTTCATCAGTTACAACATTATAACCTTTTTGCTCTTAAACTTAGGATTCCTACAGTTAAATCTAAAGTCTTTATTTGTTGACTGCACTTCTTAACTTCCATATTTATATTATACATGTAGTAAACTGACTAGTAATTGTAGCTTAAACCAGTAAAAATTCTCATAGTAGTAACTTATTTTTTTGCACTATTTTTAAATTTTCAACATGTGTCATTGATATGTTTCCTTTTTTGTAAAAGTAAAGTTGTACTGTGTTATGTTTTTACACACTAGCAGTAGCACAGTACTCAGTTATCAGTTCTTGACCACAACTGCACACATTACTTTTAATAATAATAATTAATATTATTACTAACGTTACTCAAAATTAGACTTCACTATCCATTTGATTCTTAAAATACAACTTATATCCAATACTTATATAAATATTAATGTATTATTTTGTGTAAGCTTAGTCAATACTACGGCTACAAGCACTGCTGCAGACTAAATTAGTAACACTATACAAAGTACTTACTCTCAATGTTGACTGTTACTAACTGTTAACTGGCGACAGTGTTAGAAATTATAATTTTAATAAACTAGAAATTATTGTAATGTCAGTATCACTATCAGTAACTATATAAATTATAAAATATAAGTGTAACAACTTCCAACTTCAAAAGGCTTAATAACTAAGTTAATTAAGGAATTCAAGTTTCAACCTCAAAAAATGTAGTTGCTAAATTTTATAACAATACAGACAGTTTAATCCAGTTCTACTTCTAGTAATTCATTACACACACCACAGCTTCCACCACATATTTCTGTCATTTTTATATTATTATTTTTTTTAAATTTAAAAATGTTCAACACTTAACTACAGCATCACCATTCCGTCGTCGTCAGCCTATTCAGCACTGCAACGTAGTTTATTAATTCAGTACGTACAGACCGGATGAAGTAATGTAATCAAACATGACGTGTCATTTACCCGAATACCCTTCGTGTTAAATAGCATGAACCCATGGATTTCTATATGCAGAAACAATGAAGAAGGACAATAATAGAACTGTCTTAGTAAATTATCATTTTTAAATATAATTATTTATAGTGTAATAGTAATTACATGTATAAGTCTTTTAAACAAACTTTATATTATAAACGCTTAAAATCTTAAATTTCTTTATCCCACTATATTAATCCTTGAATGTGAGTTTTGTAACGTATTCTATCGTTTGGCGGGTTCTTTTGAGTTACTTGATAAGGAGAATGGTTGTTTGTCTGTTTGTTTTAGATCAAATCCACACTGAGCGATCTGTTGTGTCCACCGAGGGGAATCGAACCCTAGATTTTAGAATTGTAAGTCAGTAAACTTACCACTAATCCACAGGAGGACGAAAAGATTGCCCAATTCAATTCATGTGACGATAACGACTTAATCTATTTCTTCAATAATACATTTGCTACAGCCACGTTCACTTGTAGTACAGGTTGTATTCCTAACTTCAAATAGAACGTTCCAATAGAAATTCCGAGACTAATGGCACCCATGCTTAACTTACTTAACTTTGATCGATAAATAAACACGTAATTAACTCACTGAGTAACTGAATAGTAGAATAGATACCATTACTCTTACTACGAACACTGAATGACTTTTCTGACACTCAACTAACAAACTCACTCAATACTCCTTAATTCACTGCTTAGTTTACTAACTGACTGGCACCGAACTGATTCAACCAATCAATGATTACTCATATATATTTCATACTCTATTTCTTCACAGACCACGAAGCTTCTCCTCGATTCCTAAATTTCATGAACTTCCTAGATCTTGAAGTCATCATAATGTCAAGCTCCTTCTAGCAAACATCTAAATTAAAACATTGAAAATATAGCTAACAAGAGCAATGCCGAATAATATATTCCAGTTTAAGTATTTATGCTGTAAAAAAGTCTTAAGATAGTTATTGAAGATTCACACGACTTTTTCTTTTTTTTTCCTTTTTTTTCATGCTGATCATCATATGGAAAACATCGGGTGCTACAGAATGAAGAAAGTTGAAAAAGCTTGTAAATTTCTCAGTCACTTCAATAAGCCTGTGAGTATAGCTTTAAACACTCTGAAGAGCATTCGTTCAGCTCTTCATGTTTCAAATGTCTGGTGGTTAGATGTTTGATTCACAAGCTGCGGGTCCCAGAATCGAAACACATCTCCGAAAATGCTCACTCTTTTAGCCATGGAAGAGTTATAATGCGATGTTCAATCTCACTATTAATTAGTATATAACGGCCCAAGAGGGGTAGGCAGTGTTATCTAGCTACTTTCCCTCTAATCGTTTACATAAAAATCAGGAGTGGCTGGTGTAGATAATCGTACAGTAGCTTTGCGCAAAGATTCAACAAACAAACAAACGTTTGTTTCTAATAGTGTATATAGAAGATTAATATAATTAATTCACAATAATTTTTGAATTTTTCAATCATTGTATCACTTTTAACTTTTAAGAACGGTGGGAAAATACCTACTGTTAATGATAGTTATAGAAAAAGTTCCATGTTGTAAGTAGGAATACAGACGATGGAGTACATTATATCAATTAAAATTATTTTCAGAGCCTCACCACATTGTTAGAGTCCATGTCACCAAGTCCGGTCATGCTCTATCTGACGGAAATGCACAATATTCATGCATCGTAGTTTCCATTACAAAATGATTCATCATGAGGCTGTCGTGTTCAAGGCACACCACTTCTCCCAGCAAGCTCCCCATACTCCAACAAGAGCTTGAAGACGATAGTTTTCCAGTACCCATTTCAACAGTAAGGTCGCACAGAAATTCATATGCGATGTGTCTGGTAGCAGAACCAATATATCTTCATAGGGAAAACTATGAATATCCATTTCATTCTTCAACTGCCTGAGGTATGAAACGTTTGAACGAGAACTATTACTGGAAACCTTAACTTGATGGTCCCATAACCTATTTGTTTCGTTTCCAGGCAGATATCCTTCTTGAAAATCTTGGGAACTGTTACCTTGAATACGTGGACAGCTTTTGCCACTAACCTTTGTGTCCTTGGACTTTCATTTTTTACAAGACGTCCCACTTGACTTTCTATGAGTGGAATATGACTTGCTGCAGGTCTCTTTCTAGATGGTTCTTGCACTCCAAACTCACCCATCATCCTTTGTTTTCTACTGCTATTTAAAACAAAGCGATATCTTTTTCTTGGAAATTCTAAATCCCCGATCAGAACTAATCTTTAAGGTTTCAGTTAATGAACATTTTGCATCGGAAAGGGCTTTGCAAACTCGTTCTAAAAGTTATCAATTTTTAGTTGGTATCATACTGCCTGCAAATGTCAAACCAAAATCCCAAATATAGTTTTGATTCATGCCGTTCCACGCAACTTTATATATATATATACATATTTTTTTTGGTTGTCACATGACTTGCTGATTTGCATTTTCAGAATCGTTTTACTATAACGTAATCAACCTATGTAGTTATCTTCTTAACGTAACGGGAAATCTTTTGTTGGGTTAGTGATAGCATAAAATTCTTATGGTAAGTATGGTAGTTCTTGTTAACAATTTTATTGAAATTAAAATATTTGTCCAGTAAAACTGAAGAAAAAGTTTAACCATGATTTTTGTGCTTGCACTTCGTTCTTAATAATATACTTATGTAGCTTTTATCCCAGACCATTCCTAAATATAGGAGGTATATGCTCATGTTTGTTACACACTTTAGAAATGACCCCTATGTAGAGTTTGTTTGTTTGTTGAATTTCGTGCAAATCTACTCGAGAGTTATCAGCGCCAGCTGTTCCTTATACAGATATGATAGACTAGAGGGTAGGCTGTTAGTCAACATCACCCACCGCCAACTCTTGGTCTACTCTTCACCAAAGAAATGTGGAATTGATCGTATCATTAAAAAACACCTATGACTGAAAGGGCGAGCATGTTCAGTGACGGGATTCGAACCTCCGTATACCAACGATTGCAAGTCAAACGCCTTTTGTAAGGAGTTATTTATTTTTAACTCCCACCCCCACCCCCCATTTTAGGACTTATTAGGTTTTATGTACCCCCATCTCAGGACTTGTAGGGTTTGATATCCTCTATGTACGGAGTTAAGTTTTATAAGATTCTTATCTACAAATTTATATTTTGTGGATAGCAGGACATTTACTTCAAGGCTAATTACATTGGTTTTAAATATTCATTTATTGGCCTTTACAAATAGTATTTCTAACACTGAAATAATAAAAATGCAGTTAACTGCGTTAAGTTATCACTTATTTACTAATTCTGATATATCTAGTCAAAGAACGAAAGATAATTTTCAAATTACACAAGCTTCACTGAGATAGTCCTTTACAATACCAGCACTGAACAAATCGATTTTTTTTCAGGGACACTTCTTAGTTTTAAATAATATCGTGTATGCATTAAGAATTTGTTAAATGTCCCTAGGACTATCCCTGTATTCAAGTGATAGTAACATCTTACAAATTAAAGATGATGATGATTCACCTCACCCTTTTTATAGATCTCTTTGGCATTTTACACCAGAGACTAACCTATAAAAATTACTTCTTTCAAGACATAATTGGAACGGGCATGCCTCCTCTTTTCCACATGATTGGATGGCCTTAAACTTTTATGAATCTTGATAGAGTTTGTTTGTTTCTTTCAGCATTTTCTCGCAAAGCTACACA